CTCTTCTGAATTGGGAATAGCCAACATGCATTATAAACTTATTTCTAATTAATCTGTTGGGGAGATAAAATGTGCAAGATAACGTTCACATACTAACAAAAACATCTAAGAATGTATCTTTTATTCTTCAGTACTGAAAACAGAACCTAGAAGGGAGCTTATATGCGCTGTGACGCAGCTCTTGGAAATTACCTTTTTGTTCGTTGTCTGTCATTTCGAAGCTTACCTTGCATACGGTTTTCTTTAGTTTTAATTTGCCTAACTATCGATCTGACCCAGTAGACGCCATAATCCCCCTCTGTCTCTCTCCCGCGTTCTTTTTTATATTTTTTTTAATGGTGGGTGTTTACTCAGTTGGCTAGAGCAGTGCTGATTGGGGAGAACGGAGGTGCGCTCACTCTATTGGTTAGTAAGACTGCCACTCAAGGCTGGCAGTCATGCATATGCTCTGGAACAAAGTAATATCGCGTCCATATCGCAGGCTTTGCGATTAGGAAATCGCAACGCCTCAAATCACAAGTTCGATGCGATTTCGATTAATCGCACAGCCCTAATGCGTACCGAACCGAAAGACCCGTACCAAAACGGTTCGGTACGAATACGTGTACCGTTACACCCCTAGTATATATGTATTGCGCACATGTAAATATTGCACAGTTCCATAGTGTTTGAAAAAGTCCTTTGTGTAATTTATGCATTTAGTTCTCTGGAGGTGCGAGCCTGAACAACCCTGATCAGAACAGAAAGATCCTACATTACAGTCATTTTAATATTTATTACCAATGATTTTGCATGACACAGTTAAACTTTGACACTTACCCATAAGGTCAGCGAATCCCCCGACAGGAAGTCGGCACGTGCCGGTCACAAACTGCAGCAGACGCATGCGCTTCTCATTGTCGATCTCCTTCACAAACTAAACACAGACAGACAACAGACGATGCATCTCCACATTTATGAACATCTGGGTTTAATTTAATTAGTGGTCTGATGCTAAAGTGTGAGATTAACAGCTACTGGTTAGTCTAACCTGCCAAAACCAGCCGATCTGTTTGCTGCTGCGAGCGTAGTGTCTGTAGATGGTGCTCCTCTGCCAGTCGACCAGATCGATCTCCTGCATCCCACACAGCATCACCTACAGCACAGTTACACGTTCAGAACATACTGTACTAAACACGGTTTACATTTAGAGAAACTATGGCCTTATTTATATACATCTGATATTAACAGCAGATACAAAATACAGTTGAAATTTGTCTTGTGACATTTGGACATTAAAAAAGCCTTTGAACATTATGAAGTGTCGTTTGTACCTCCAGTTCTTTGGCATCAAAGTATTGCAGGTACTGCTGCGGCAAGACCTCATTAAAGCCCTCGAGAAACGCCTGAGTCTGTTCCTCGACCCCTCTGGACAGCCTCCACTCAGCAACCAACCTGCAAACACGTTTGATTTCACAATCACTCACTGACATTATGGCTAATATGGCAAATTTGTTTATTTTGGTACAAAATTCCTAATTGTTTTTTTAAAAAAACATGCTGAAGACACAAATGTAACACAAGAGACAAATAAGCAATACTTTGAACTCGCATTGAATTTTCATAAGATATTTTTACAGTCCTAGTAGCTAACTTTTTTGTAAATGTAAAAAAAATTATATAATATTTAAAATAGTTATATTATTATTCATATAACTATATATTGTATATATATGATACATCTAATATAATATTTTGAAATATAAAACACTGATATGGAGTCATGCGGGACACTTTTTATGATGGAAGGATGCACTTTATTGGACTTCTTTTGAACTATTGAAAAAAAAACACCAACTCACTGCCATTATAAAGCTTGGAAGAGCCAGGATAAGACAATATTTTTAATTTAGAAATAATTGTTTAAAATTATATATACATATATATATATATATATATATATATTTAGCAGCAAAACTGTTTCCAACACTGATAATAAATCAGCATATTAGAATGATTTCTGAAGATCATGTGACACTGAAGACTGGAGTAATGATGCTGAAAATACATCTCTGCATCACAGAAATAAATTATATTTTAAAGTATATTATATTAGATAACAATTATTTTACAATTACATTAAAAATCATACTGATCCCAACATTTTATATATTATATATATATATATAATTAAAAATATATATATTTCTAAATTAAAAATATTGTCTGTAATAAATCTGTATAAATGAGATTTCTTACCTGATATACTCCTCTTTATTGTCCTCTGTCACCTGAATGTTTCCTCCATCAGGCTTGAGTTCATGTGTGGTGACTTCTCCCAAAATGTCCTTATCCACCGAGAAAAACATCTCCAAGCCACATTCCTCTATATTATTATCCCTATAGAAAAACACTTTGTAGTTAGGACCAATTGGGATTCTTAATTTCCTAGTAATTCATATCCCGGATGACCACAATTTTAACCCCCAAGCCCTCACTATTATCTCTGTAACTCATTCAACTCCTTCTCACTCACTTGATCCAGATGAGCGAGTTGTAAAACTCTGGGTCGATGGACTCCAGGTCTTTCAGAGCCAGAGGTTTGTTCAGGATGCGCTTATAAAAAGGCAAAGAGAAGCCCGTGTCTATGAACTTCCCATGAAACAGAGCCTGTGTGAGAGAGAACGTACAAATAATATTCAGAAGCTTTCAATGCATTTCAAACTAAGATACTTCAGAGGTCAGTCGTACCATAGCGATGAACCGGCCAATGAACTTGAAGTATTTGAGGTGGTCAGGGTTGATGGAGGAGGCGGGGTTAATCTGCAGGCAGTAGTTGTCTTTGCCGGCGTACTCGAACAGACAGTACATGGGGTTCAAGACCTCGTGAGACAGCAGGAAGAACCATTCCCTATGACAGAAACACAACATTATTTTGTGTGTGTGTGTGTGTGCATATAGCAACTCAAGTCATCACTTCCTGTAAATAACGCAATATACCTGGCCACGCCTCCATAGTCAAGTCCCTCCTCCCC